TCCCTGGGGTCAGAGCGTTCTCGCTCCCTGGGGACCCCCAGAAAAGACTTTCTCCGCCCCACGCTGCTGCCCCCTGAATGTCTTCCCCTTCTTCCCTGTGAAAGAAACGTGTGCCGCCTGTAATAAGCCACTGACGTCCCTCTCTTCTGTTATTTCTTAGTCATCTGATCGTTGCCTTGCCTATACGTTACACTGCCATCACCGCTCCTCCGCCCATGCATCCGCCCCCTCTGCGTACCGTATCTGCACAGAGACGGTGTAGTTACACACACACACACAAAGGGAAAAGTTTTGAATCCCAGGAGCCTTGACATTTGTAAATTAAGTAGCTGACTTACCTTACCATAGTTCAAGAAGTGAATCTGCTTGGTTGCCTTTTAGGACACTTACAGTCTCATAAACATATACCATCATGAAGACTTACTTCATGCTTTCTTCTGCCTTCTTGTGTCTTCCTGCTGTAGTGAAGTGTTGGTTTCCAATTATATCACTGCTGTGTTGTGGAATGTCAGAAAAAGAAACATCTTTTTGCAAGATAATTCAAGTGAAAACAAATTAAGGATCAGTTCTAGTTTCTATTATTATTTCTGCTCTTAATAATAATTCATATTGTATTTGTATTTTGAAAGCATAGTAGTGAGGAATTTTTTCAGTGATACCTTTGTAATTATCTAGTTTTAGGCTACATATAAGCCATTCTACTAATTAAGAGTATTGAATATAGCAGCTTCTTTTTAGTTTTCTTTCTAACTAAACCCTCTACTCTTAAATCCAGATGGAGCTTCTGATAAGATGAAAATGCTCATCTTATCTATGTGCATGCTGTTATATGTGCATAGTTATAGAATTGGCTATTTATAGTGTGTGTTTCCTGCAAGCACATTTTGAATTTTGCTAGATACTAATTCTTCTTGTGACCATCTACTGCGACACAGCGATAAGATCCAAGAAATAATATGGTTATTATAATATTAAAGGGCTTTAATATTCTTAATGCTTTTGCGAACACTTTGGCTAGCAAGAGGAAGAAGGACAAAGTAAGGGTGGTTGTCCATGGGTCTTTGTGTTAAGTACTAGGGAAATAATAGTTACCTAGACACGATAGACACTAGCACATGGTGCCAGTTATTTAAATGAGGAATAATGTCTGACTGAAACATGCTACCAAGGACATTGGTTTGGTATATAGGCAAATATATACTGGGAGATACAGAATATGTATGCAAAACAAATCCAAAATGACTCAGTGTGACAGCAAGTCAAAAGAGTTCTGTAGAGGAGTATCCTTTAATGAGAAGTCGTTGCCTTTGAGCACAAACTATTCAATTTGACTTTGAAATTCAGTGTTACTTCATCAGGTAATCAGTTGCCTGCAGGCTGCGTAAAAACATTTCGTTTTGAGGCCAGCAGTAGATTTTCAGGATCGGTGGTGATTTAGAAAAGCACGGTTGGCTTCTTTTTAAGGAAACAACCAAAACTGAACTGAACAGGGGCAAGGCAGTTCTCCCCAAATAGCATACAGCTCCCATGTTGTCTTGGTTCAAACCACAAGTCTTAGTCAAACAGCTGTCAGCGGCTGATGCGTCCTCAGCATCCGTGAGAGACAGGAATGCGCCCTCAGTTTCTTCTCACCACAGTAACTCCACACTTTGAAGACTTGCACAGGAAAGGTGTTATTTTACTGTGGCATTATTGCCTTTAAATTGTCATATAGCATAATAGTGGTGACATAAACATAACTACTAGTACTGTACTTGTTGGTTTTTTATTACTGTGTTTTTCCAGACATCAAGATATGTAGACGGGCATGCTATGGATATTAGAACTAATTTTGTCTTTTATATGCTTTTGTTATTTCCTTATTTGGCATTACACAGAAAATAGTATTATGGTGATTAAATACTGCAATTAATAAGCACAGCCTCTTTATTTCATGGATTTTAATTTTTCCCCTTCTTAGAAAGGAACACTGCTCTATGAAGAGACTGGGTACTGTATTATTGCTTTAACATACTAGCAGACCAACTCTTTAGTAGAGAATGTGCAAAACTGCAAGCCAAAAAGATTCCATTTTTAAAAAATGCAGTAGTTTTGAACTATTCCTACAAATATAATTTGAAACAGCATTGAAACTCTTCTGTAACAAAACCAGTCTGTTTTTTTGGCAGTGACATTACTAATTCACTACCTGCATTGGTTACCAAATGTTAAAAACACATGGAAAGCATTATGAAACTTCACATTTAGAAATAGTTCAGAGATTTGATGTGCTCCTTGTGATCATCTTCGCAGGTAAATATTGAATGTTTTCCATGTAGGGTCATATAAAGAGAAAAGAGTTTTATTGTAAGTTTGGGACAAAAAGATCTTGTTGGACAAAAAAATGTAACCATGGACTCAAGTGGGAAGAAAAACAGAATTAAAAATAGGAGAAAATAGGCTTGTGAAGATGTACATTAGATACCAGTTTTGTAATTGAATGAGAATTTTAAATGTGTTCATAAAATAAGATTTGTCATAGCTTAAAATTACCATTTTACCTGATTTTTTTAATAGGAAAAATTGTTTGGAGGACTAGTGAAAAGGATTTACTGTTTGCTCATTATAGGAGTTAGAAAAATACTTAGTGTAGATCAGTAAATACAATCTTAGTAGCGGGCAGCTGCAAAGTAACTCAATGTAACTTTATTGTGTCCTTTATGGTAGATTGTATTGTATAAATATTTTTTCCTAAAAGAAAGGTGATATTAAATATAACTTGCAATGCTAGATTAAATAATATAGAAAATGTGTACATTGTCAGTTCAGAATTGTACAGTTTCCTGAATAATATACTTTTTTAAAGTGTAATATAAAATCAAATAGTTGAACAGTTTGGGGGGCAGGGAGGGCAATCAGGAAGTTTCATATGCTCTGTAATTACTGAAAGGATTTTTAAAAAAGAAGTTAAAATGAACTTTCCCATGCAGGTGTGCTGTTTTCTGGCTCCTCTAAGAAGATAATTTCTAAATTTTACAGTTTTGAGCTACTTGAGGTACATTGTAGCACCTGAATTTTTTTCATATCTCTAAATTAATTAGAGATAGTATCTACAGATAAATTGTTATTTTAATTAATTTTACAGCACTCTAAGACAACATAACACCAGAATTACATTAGATTTAAGAAATCTTACTAAATAAGAAAGGGTTTGAACTAACTTCTGTTGAGATTAATGATACAATGCCTGTTTATGTCAGTGCAAGTGCTACTGGCTATGCTTTTGACCAAAATCATGACTGATTACATGATGCTTTAAATCAAAGGTTTGGCCTGAAGAACCTTTCAGAAAATTCCGTTGACCCTTTAAGTTGATTTCTGGATAAATATAAATGTAACCATGAAAGAAAACCATCTTATGCCCAGTTCTTAAAAAATGTCATTAAAGTTGATGTGAAATGATATTTACTTGAAGATTATTGCCTTCTATATATTAACGGAAATAAATGGCAACTGTCTGTGCCCTCTGGTGTGAATTTCCTTTCCAATTAGTACTTCTGATCAGCCTTTGATTGGAATAAGAACTGACAAAGAAAAATATGCTGATTTTTCCTGCAGTCTAGGGGACCCTTCCAGCATCCATTCTGGATAAGAATATTTCAGATGGCTGATGTAGTTGATATTATGTATGCTTTTTGTGTATGTGTCCTGATTAAACTAATTGCTTAGAGAAGCAATAGCAAGTATGAATCTCTTACCACATATTGTCATGATTTTTGTTAATTGGTTATGTTCTTGTGGCTTTGATCTCCCCATGTGATGTGTTAGTGAAAGAAGTTAAAGACCTGGCAAAGCTTATGCTAATTTAATGGTTATTGTACATTCAGTATGTATTCAGTGTAATTGTGTTTCCATAAGAACTTCTCTTATATAAACTAGAATTAAACTATTATAGTAGTATTGTTGCATCAGGAATATTAAATGAGCTCTACATTCCTCAGTCCATTATATTAACACTTAAGACTTTTCTCCCCCAGGTTTGCATTCACCGTGTTAGATCGTGCAGCAGCATTCGCTTTATAAAATCAAAATATGTGTGCGTGTTTGACAAATCTGCCCTCAAGTTTAGTCATCAACAGCGATTATTCAGAACATCTGCTGGTAATCTTTTTCATAATAAAATAATTTATTTTATTTTGTTATTTTATGAGTGTTATGTTAGCGGTTTGTATGTGACTGGTATGCAGTCTATTTTTGATGCATTCAGATTTTTCTGTCTGATATCTTATATTTAATATTAAACATGCTGTATTTTCTTATTGTCTGTTTTAAGTTTCATGTGGCCAAATTGTCCAATTTAAGCTTTCTGACATTGGAGAAGGGATTACAGAGGTGACTGTAAAAGAATGGTAAGCTCTACTTTCTTAGAAATGTACTAAGAAATCAGCAAGTAGTTTAACAGCTGTATTATCAGTTATTTATCTGAGAATGTTTTCTGGGTTACTAGTGAAGTTTTTCAAGTTTCATTTTCCACATTTTAAAACCTTGTATATACTGAGCTTTACATTTTATTTATTTGCAATCTGGTTTATTTGGGAGTGGAAAAGATGGAAGGAATGGGATGCCCTAACTGCACCTGTATATAGGCTTTCCTGCCGTGATTAATTTTAGAGTGCAGGAGATCTGTCTTTTATTATACTTACTTAGGCTGAACTTTAGAAACAAATGACTGGTCTGGAGAATCCACGTAATTTTATCCTATCCCCCTTCTCTATTGACTTTAGTAAAAGATTTGAACATTTAAATTGTTTGTAAAAAGCCAACAATGAATGGATTAAGCAAAATCAAAGTGCACAGTGAAGGAAGGCAGCGTCGAAATGCCTTGTTGTTTGTACAAACAGGTGAAAATACCTCTCTTTGCATAGAAGACAATGTTTCCCACTTTCAGTTTCTTTTCCGAAACTGATCATATACTGACCCTGGCAATTTGAAACTAAGAACTTCTTTAGGTTCAGACTAAGCTGTGCTCATTCGTATTTTTAGATGGCTTATAATCTGTCAAGAAAACTCTGCTTTACAAAAATAATAGTAAAAATATATGTGCGATGATATTCTAAATCATTGCGTCATTTCACACAACAAAGGGTTCTGGAGCAGTCAGGCAAAAGGTATATAGCAAACGTATCCATTATGTAGAATTTGTCTTCTTATCTGGAATGCATTGTCATGTTCGGGGTGTCTACATAACTGAACTTATCAAAAGAATACACAGCATAGATTTTTACACTTAGTATGTTTTATACTAGCCTGTGTCTTTTCTCTTAGGTATATAAAAGAAGGTGATAGCGTGTCTCAGTTTGATAGCATCTGTGAAGTACAAAGCGATAAAGCTTCCGTTACTATTACTAGTCGTTATGATGGCATCATTAGAAAACTCCATTACAATTTAGATGAAATTGCTTATGTTGGAAAACCATTAGTGGACATTGAAATTGATGCTTCCAAAGGTATTGTAAGCCCTTTTTTTCCTCTTGCATATTTTATGCTTGTCGTTGTAAAACCATCAGTGACAGAGGAGTTTACTTTTTCCTCCTGAAAATCTTAAAACTGAATTATGATTTTTCCTTTATAAAGTCAAGAAAATTAAGTAGGAAAAGCTGTGATATTTTATTTGGATTTAAAATCTCAAAAGCCAGACATTTCCTATTGAAAATTTAGCTTAAGCAGCAGTCTTTAGCATGCTATGTTCCCATCCACAGTAGCTCAAAGTAAATGTTAAAAACTTCAGCTGTCACAGAATCACAGAGTGGCTGAGGTTGGAATTTAACAAATGCTTATAATGTAGTAAAGTTAAAATTGTTCTTTTTGTTTGCAGGTGTTGCCCCAGAAGAAGATGTTGTTGAAACACCTCCTATGTCTCATGAAGAGCACACTCACCAAGAGATAAAAGGTCACAAAACATTAGCAACCCCTGCAGTTCGTCGTCTGGCCATGGAGAACAATGTAGGTTTGCTGAATCAGGTCCTGCTGCTTTTTATCCATCTTTTATATAGCAGTTTGACTGACTAGGAGAACATCGATCTAGAGGAAGGTGCAGTGAGAAATTACTTGTTTTCAAATAAATTTCAAATGTGTAAAAACTGTTGTAAAGGTGAAGAGGATTGTGCTTTCTGATGATTATGGTGGATAGAAAAAGAATTACTGTACTTAAAATGCAGCGAGGATGCTTTAGGCTGGAGATTAAGAAAATCTTTTTAGAATAAAAATAATAAAGTATCAGAATAGATTCCTGGGACAGAGGGAGGAGGAGGGAAAACTGGAATCTCAGCTTTAGCTACCTTGTTCTGTTTTTCAGATTTGTATTAGAGCCGAGGGTGTACTAGGTGATCTTTTAAGCGCTTTTCTAATTCTTTTTTCCTATGAATCTATGAATATTCCATTGATTTTGAAAGCTTGTGGTGCATGTTTAGGAGAAAAATAAAACAATAAGTAGAGAAAATTAAGTGACAAATAGCTTTCCTCAAATTAATATTTCACTGTTGATCCTGTGAGGTAATTAAGAGGTAAGTAGTATTCATGGTTCCTCCTTAAAGTATGCAATTAGACACCTAGCTGGCCTTCTGGATGATTTGAACAATGTTAGGTACCCAGTGAATCATAGAAAGGGAAAGAAAACTGTAGGTATGTTAGATCAGTAACTGGAATAATTCTTAATCGTAGCTCACAATGTAGGATATTTTTATATTGTTGTAAAACGGAAGTGTCATAGCTTGTTATGTACTTTTCAGATTAAATTGAGTGAAGTTGTTGGAACAGGGAAAGATAACAGAATCCTTAAAGAAGACATACTGAATTACTTGGCCAAACAAACGGGAGCTATTTTACCTCCATCACCGAAGGCTGAAATTATCCCACCTTTGCCAAAATCAGAGACTGTGCCAGCTGCTCCAAAGGACAAAGAACGCAAAATTCCTGTATCTGTTTCCAGACCCATTGTGTTTTCAGGAAAAGATAAAACCGAACCTATATCAGGTAAATAATGAAATATAAAATCTTGAGACCATGTTGACAGTAGACTACCCGTAAATGTTACTCAGTGAACAGTTGATTCCTTTTGATGGGAGTGTGTTTCATGTTATCGTCATGCAAGTGAGCAATAGGAAACCATGCTCTGTAAGAAAGTGTTGCATGAAATGATTATTTTATGAGATAATTGTTCATGTTTTGGTTGGATGGAGCTGGGCTGCAAGTTGCACTTGCTCATTTTTAATCCATGTTTCTTCAAATGTACGCTGAAAAAGGTAGGAATTCTGAAACACATGTGCATTTGTCACAGTATGAATCATTATGTAATTAGTGGCAAAGTGCAGTGAATTTAAGGGTTTATCAGTGCTTAATAATAGCGTACTTCAGCATTCACACTTGTTCTGGAGAAGAGTGCAACAAAAGACACTAAGGTAAGAAAAATCACATTCAAAGAGGAAGATAAAAGGTTTTTGCTTGCCTTTCGGGCAGTGTTTATTTGGAGAGGCTGGAAAGAGTAGTGCAGATTACTGTATTATGATTTCAAATACATACGTAAGAGAGATATGCAGTAATATAATCTGAAATATTACAATTGTAAAAATTGAGTTGCATGTGCTGAATAACTGTTGATCCTAAAGTGAGCTTTACCCTGTCCTTTTTTGTTGTGGTTTTGTTTTTACGTTGTGTTATTTGTTTAATGGAAACAAATAATTGAAATTCCACCATAACTTCCCAGAAGCTCATTTTATTGGTTTAAGAAGTCAGTGAATATTTTCCAGGTTTTCACAAGGCCATGGTAAAGACTATGAGTGCAGCCCTGAAGATACCCCACTTCGGTTATTGTGATGAGGTTGATTTGACTCAGCTTGTTCAGTTGCGAGAAGAGCTGAAACCTGTAGCACAAATTCGTGGAGTTAAGCTTTCCTTTATGCCTTTCTTCATAAAGGTGAGATGTGCAGCAGAGCACTGTTTGCAGTACTTACGCAGATTTTGCCAAAATCTGAGCGGTGATTGTTTTAAGTCTGGAGCACCACTCTATCATCTGAATAATTACAGGTCACAAGAAGAGTCTCAGCTTTTCTTGTTTATTGAACCACTGATGAATTTACTGTTGGGACTGTACTTAGGGTTATATAATGTCATGGAAAATTTTTGAAGTATTAATGGGGAAGGATAGAGCAGATAAAGCATTATTCATTATGGGGGTAAGCATCTCTGGGTGTTTGAATTACACATAACAAATTTTGGAAACTGATAGTATTTTTTTTGAGCTCCATTAAAATGAATGTCACATGAAATGCATCATTATTATTGTTGTTATATTTTTGTTGGTAATGAATCCCTCAGGTGAATGAGTGTGTCTCTTCTGTTGTTCAGGTGAATGAGTATGTCTCTTCTGTTGTTCAGAAGACCAGGCACTTGCATTCATTTAGTTGCCATGGTTCCATTTCCAACTGTTGGCATCAGTGAAGACTGATGCGCTGCCTAAGCTACACATTGAATGCATAGCTTAGTTTGAAACTTCTGGTAATGCTATTTCAATTAGAGTGCTACGTAAGCACTCATTCTGCTCACTCTCTTTATGGGGAATGAATGACTTCCTTGAAATAATTGTCATCGGAGAGCTGAGAATGACATTGCTGCTGAATCTCATAACTTTTCTCTTGGGATATTTGATTTGAATTGTGGAGCAGAAATAACAAATGCAGATTCAACTTCAGTTATACCTGGGAAAAGGATTATCACTTTTTACATGTCTGTCTGCTGCATATTTCATTTTTATAAGTTGTCTTTTTCTTCTGCTATCCTGATAATGACAGAATGTCAACAGACAAGGTTAGGAGAGTTTAAGCCAAATTTCATTGCATTGAGGAAATCGATATTGTTATTAATCTAAATTGTCTCCTACCGTTCCTTCCTTTCCATGCAGTCTCCGGTTATAAAACATAAAAATCTGTCTTTTTTTAAATTTTATATTTAACAGGCAGCCTCTCTGGGATTATTGCAGTATCCCATTCTTAATGCTTCTTTGGATGAAAGCTGTCAAAATGTCACATATAAGGTTTGTAAACTACTGATAAAAGTTGTGAGCAGAAAACCTAAACTAACAGCTAACAAGGGCTTTTCAGAATGTCTGAGCTAATTGTAAGAACCAAAATTATGATGCTGTGCTGGAAAATAATTTGTGTGACCAGATTCTAAGATTGGATTTGATTTATTATTGATGTTATTTCAGTAGTTTGTTTAATGAGAGTCACTTTTTGTTATTAAGGCTTGCCTCAAAAATGTATATTAATACAGTGATTTCCTATTTTTCACCTGACGATGGGCCAAGCATTTAAAATTAGAACATGTAAAATCTAATACAGTAATTTTTTAGTAATGGCACAGTGGTTCCACTGTTCCAACGCTCAACTCTTATGTATTAAAGTTACATTTTAAACTCAGTTTTGATAAAAATAATGTCATTTCCATACAAGTTGCTGGATTGATACGTCTGGGCAGCAAGTGTCTATTTTCTTAAGTGATGTTTGCAGTACAAACTCCTTTTGTGCTGTTTTATTAATATCTTCAGATGAATCCTTATATATTCCTTCTAGCAAATGAAAGGCAACTCAGTTTCCTTTTTTTTTTAATTTTAGTGTTCTCTTTAAAATCTCCTAGTCATGTTTTGTTACCCATTTAATCATCCTGAAGTGAAATATTTTCAGTGCAAAATTGATTCCAGGATTTTGTATTTTCCGGATGTGAAATTGCCAAAATCAATTTGCACTTTGCAGATCTGGAAAGCTAATATGTAAAAATTTACATCCCCTTCTCCCCTCAAAGTTGTATAGAGGAGTTGCTTACTACAGACGGCGCTTTCTAGGTTAAAGAGATAGATAAAGAAGACATTATTCAAGTGCTTTTTTATGGAAAACACATTTTATGTTGACTGCTTATATTAATGTCCGGTTAATGAAACTTGTTGCAGGCTTCGCACAACATTGGAGTTGCTATGGACACAGAGCAAGGTTTAATTGTCCCAAATGTGAAAAATGTTCAAGTCTGTAGTGTGTTTGAGATTGCTTCTGAATTAAATCGCCTACAGTCCTTGGGCTCTGCAGGCCAACTGGGAACAAATGACCTCACTGGGGGAACATTCACCCTTTCAAATATTGGCACAGTAAGTACAGGAAAAATGAGAACTTACATGTGAAAACTGCTTCTGAAATGAATACTTTAGTAAAGTTTAATATGCAATGAACAAAACCTGTAGCAATTAATGCAGGAAGCAATCTGCTTTAAAAAAATTGTTAACTAATATCCCCAGCTTTTTCTTTTCTAGATTGGTGGCACTTACACCAAACCAGTGATACTACCTCCTGAAGTAGCTATTGGAGCACTTGGAAAGATACAGGTATATTAACTTTATCTCAGTGATGGGAGTGTTTAACTCCAGCTAACTGAGGTCATCTGTAATGAAAATGAAATGTGGCGTGTCCCTTTGATTTTGTTTTTCTTAGATAAACATTTCCTCTTTAGGTTACAGAAACTGCATAGCTTGTGATTGAGAAGTTTTGTGATGTTTTTAGATGACTGTGCAGAGACACCAAATGTTTCAGTAGAAGTCTCTTATGCCAAAGGTTCAGATTTGTTTTCTAGAATCCTGTTGTATTTCACTCACATTTATGTTTAGCCTTCTAGTTATTAAGAAACAACGTAAATATATTTTTACAAGTTTTGCAACATGGCGATAGCATTTTTGCTATCATCAAGGAGAAGCCTATTCTGATAACGAAGTTTAATTTCATGAGCCAGATAGCCGAATCCATACAGAACTGTGTATGATGAAGGCAGTTTCATGTTTTCTGAATTTCAGGCTTTAATTCTTTAATATAAACATTTGAGATCAATGCTGGAAATGAAATTAGTATTAATTTAAGATACTTTTTCTATGTTCTTCCTATGAGTCTTTTGTTTAGGGAATGCTTTAAGGAAACCATCACGTTGAGCATTAACAGTGCAATAAGCTATTCAGGAAGAAACTTTTGAGTCAGAAAGGGTTTTCACTGCTTTGGTATTTCCATGATGGTGGAAACAGGATATGACTGTTTATTATGTAGGTTTGCAACATATTCTAATCCACAGCACAAACAATAATGGGAAGGTCTTTGTGTTTTGAATGGCACTACTGCTGTCTGTCTAATTTAGCAAAATGTTTATATTTAGATTAATGAATTAACAATTAAAAATATATTTTTGTTAATGGAAGTATTTAGGGTTTTTTCTTTCCTCTGATTTTTAGGTTCTTCCTCGGTTTAATGGAAAAGGTGAAGTATTTAAAGCACAGATAATGAATGTGAGTTGGTCAGCTGATCACCGCATCATTGATGGAGCTACAATGGCCCGGTTTTCTAACTTGTGGAAATCTTACTTGGAGAACCCTGCTTCGATGCTGCTAGACCTTAAATAAAGGAAACCATGGCTAGAATATGCCTTTAAACTCTGGATTAGACTGAATAATTATAAAAGCTGGCTCTGCTAGCACATGCCCTTTGCTACTCACATTATATAATAATTTTATGTGGTTAAAAGTTCTCAACAGCTGATATCAGTCTATCAATTAGTTGTTACTTCTTTTAATTAGTAGCGCTGTAATTTCTTCTACAGCAGACTGTCAAACTTAATAGGTCATGGCGTGACTTCTGAATATGGTGATGGAATGTCTTTGTTTTGCCTTTTATAATACATACGGTTGTGAGGCTGGTGTGACTGAATGACGCTGATCTACATCTGCAGCATTTGTAATCTGATTAACCTGTTTTGAAGGGAAATACTCATAGTTCTTCCTTGTTGGACACATACATTTATTTTAACAAATAATATCCAAATTCCCAAAAGAAGTTATGCAAAAATCATATACAAATAAAATGCCTTTTATGCTTCTTGCTGTAAGATGTCCAGAGAGCTTTTTGTTGTTTAACTGAGTAAACCTCTCAAGTCTTTCGCTAGTCTACTTTTTCCTGGCAATTACTTGCACAAGTACTCTTTGTCTAATTATAAATGAAGAGGCCATATTTATTCAAATGCTTACTGATAACATTTATTGATAACTATCAGGGCCTTAATACTCTCTAGAATATCCTTTATTTTTATGGGCTGGAAGTAGTTGCAGTCCTTAAATACTTTCTAGTTATTTTTGTTTCTTATAGAAAGCATCTGTCTGTTAAAAAAAAAAAAAAAAGGAAAAGAAAAAAAAAAGAGGAGGATCTCATTTGTTATTCTGTCATTAGCTAAGCCTGATGGTAAGCAGATACTAGAATTTGACAGATTAATCAGATACAACAAAGAATTAACATTTTAAAAGTACTGTGTGAGATAAGGACTTTTTAAACTCAGATACAAGGCACATAATGAATATGTTCAAGTTAATGCCTTCAGAACAGACAACAGGTATGTGGCTTAAAGGTAAACTAAACAGATTTATGAGGATTGCACTGGTTATTTAACAGGAGATATGAAGAAAACTGTTGGATATAAAAACCTTCTAGAAACATAAGTTGCAAACAGACACGAGCAAAGACCGTTACATGGCCTTAAAAATTAATTTGAGAGGCACAAAATGGACATTTTCTCCTTTCTTTAGATATATCAAAAACTGCCTCTACAGGACCATTCTCCAAAATTGTAGACCAAAGCTGTCTATTGCATTTAGCTGTGAAGATGCGAGACAGAAGCTACCAGAGGTAGAATCTCTGCTGTCCTTGATGCTGAGACTGAGCAAGAGGAAAGCTGGTAATGTAGGGGAGGGAGCATGGGAGCATATGTGTAAGGTGCTATTTATATTTCTATTGTGGTATAAGGGTCTTTTATATATAGGTCATTTCTTACGAAGTTTGACTAATATATCATGCTTATCACCTATTTCATTTTTATCAGATTTATTTATTCCTAATAAAAAAAATTAAAGCCACAAAGAATTGTAATATTGTTTCTATTTGTGAATTTTATGCAGGCAATCCTGTACAGGTGACTCAAACTTCTATTTCTTCTTATCTTTAAGAACCTACTGCACTCAAGACTACCAAAAGAACACAGCCTAATGGCTACTTTCCTACAATGACAGAAAATCCTTGAAAACACCAAATAAGTATATTGTTGTGGTAAGGGATTAGTCTGAATAGTACATTTTTTTAATCTGATAACTATGGAGAAAATAAATTGAGGAAATGTAAGTGTATGATAGAAAGCAATGAAGTGATTTTGAAATATTTGAGACAGAATAGTTTTGCTCACACAAGGAGCTTGAAACTTCTTTGTCTCTCAAAACTCCAATAAAAGAGGAGGTTATTTTTTTTTCCTAGCTCTAATTATCTGTCTCTTTTAAGGAGGAGGAAATCAAGTAGTTAGGTTTTTAGTTACGACTTTTTTAGATCAAGAAAAAACATTGATTAAAAAACACTGTGGGGATTGAATCTATGCCAAAACTGAAGGAAGAAATACCTATATCAAAGAACCTGTTGGATCATTTTTGCTTTTGCATAACTTGAAGGAAAAAAAAAAAAAGGCTTAGAAAGTTGAAAGCTAAAGCAGTTAGTGTCTTTTTAAATAGGTATTGGTGTTCAGGTAGTTAGTTGGTCACGGGCTGGAGAGGGTTTTTTGGTTATAAAGTTCTATGTGGTAATACTAGAATCTAAGGCTAATAATGAGGAAAACTGATTTCTACTGAAAGAGGGTTATAACCAAATGAATATTTTTTAAATTTCATCTTCACATTTTATACTCCAGTGCAAGAATTGGTTAGAATTATCCAGTTTTATGGTTTCTGCCTCAAATAGTGACCTGTCATTATTGCTGTCTCTCTTTCCATTTGGTTGAAGAAGATGATTCTGGCAGAGTTGTTCTCCTTTTATCTTCTCCAAGGGCTTTTTGAAGAAATAGAATGTTAAAAATGTTTCATGATTGGAAGCATGAAAAGGGGGGAGTAATAGCGCCTCTGCAAATCCTGATAAAGGTTACTTTTCTGTCCAGACTTGATAATTTGCACTAAAATTCTTCAACACGAGAATTCTTCAGCATGGGCAAAAGTAATGAGTAAAATACTTAAGTGATGTCATACTTTTTCTAGTCTAATTAGTCAATGTTGCTGTTTAATAGCACTTGGAAGCTCAGTTATCTTGCAGAGAAACGTTACTAGAGTAAAGCAAGCAGTTGTCATTTTGAGTTCTAAACTAGCTTATTCTTCATTGTGGAGCATAACAAGTACTACTATGTTCTTTTTGTTCACAATTTGTAACTTTTGTTAATGGGAGTCCAGGAGTTTATGGGAGTCCAGTCATGTTCAGCAAACTGGGAAGAAATGAAGAGCAGCAAATGCTTGGGGGTTTTGCAGAAGTGCCTCATGTGATACCTTCTATTCTCAGCATAGGTTAAAATTAGAACTAGACTGACATTGCATTGGAGTCTGAGTGAGAGTTCTAAATGGTTTTGGTAGTACAGACAAGATTTTGTAATTTATCTCTGCTCTTGCCCAGAAAGCAATGCGTCACAGAAAATCCCTGAAAACACCAAATAATTGAGGTAAGTTGTTGTTAAACTCTTTCAGATGCTTGGAGATGAAGTTGTTGGGAGGTCTGATTACTTGGGAGTAAATTTGCGGTTGTTTTACAGCCACGCTTGGGAATTCACTTCTGAATTGTTGGCTGTGATGGCATGATTATTATGGTTTTTAGTTTCCTGACAAATAATAAGATCTAAGAACAAGAAGCTTTTGATGGTAGTACTGTTATTATATAATTAAATCTCTTTGAAAACAAAGTCATATACTTAGGCCCTCTTTCATGGTTCTAAAGCAATGTTTATTGAGTAATATGCTTTCTACAGCAAAAGAGAGTTGTCCAGTGTAAGCTTTACTAAAAGTAAGTATTGTTTTGACTGTACGGTCCAATACTGATTTTAGTAGTACAAATATCTCTTTAGAGATTTGCACCGCAACGTCCCTTTTCTGCGTAATTTATATAAAAGATTTCCAGTTTTCTATCTAAAAAGGCTTATCGTTCAAAAAATGTCTCTAAACAACAAGAAATGATAGATCAGGTAAATCACTTAATCTCAGTAGAAGTTTAATCCTGAAAAATAAGGCAATTTAAATTGTAACCACTAATCAGACCAAAAACCCTCATACAATGTCTTAGTGATTACTGTTGCATGTTGGGATGAGGAATGGGAAAGATAATTACTGTAAGGACCACTGAAAGAGAAGTTAATCCTTCAAACTAGTAAATGTGATCACACTGGGGGGGCGGGGAGAGGAAAGAGGGTACAATCCTCTCTTTACAGGAAAAAATTCAATCCCTTTTTAGGAACCCAAATGCCAGACTGCATTGTGCCACACTGCGGTTGCCATTTGCATCACCTGTCAAATCCTGCCATTTTTCCTTAACAAACAGAGAACAGTTAAGAATCCTTAATATTGAAGCATTGGACCAGATTCTTCTTTACTCAGGCATTATAATTTGATTTTATGCTGTCTTTACAACAGGAAGCAATCCTGACAATTTACATTTCTTACTATTTGCTTGCCTATACATTTTTAATGACGTGATTTCAGTATAACCAGGCTTTACAAATTACTGTGTTAGCAGAAGACATGGAAAACATAAAACAGAATGACTGACAGTTTGAACACAAAAATGTTCACTGTGCAATTGTGGTGTATCCATGCTACACAAAATTATAATGGAGTAATATGTGTATGAAAAGACCTGAAATTCCACTTTTGTTGTTATGTATCTTCTTGTTTCGAAGAAAGTTATCCTCACTTTTTTAGTTTGAATGGATATGCAAGACATTTTTCTTACTTGTCCCTGCAAATATTAGCAAAAAGTTTGAAAGGGAGCATTCAGATCATCAGTGTTCAGAGTACACTGCTGTTGGCATGAAGTTTAGCCCTCCAAGCTTATCTGAATATCAATATCTTGGCTCCAGTTTATTGCCAAAAAAGCCCTTCCCTAAATGACTACAATAATGGCAATAAGAATGCTTTTTAGAGAGATGCACTGATTAGGATGACTGAGTATCCTACTTTGCTGCTCTTCAGGAAAATATGTATTAATTATTTCACTAAGAAATAGATGACTTCAAAACTTTAGGCTGAATTTTTTTTTTAAATGTGGATCCTAACAGCACGTCTACAAGAAGATTCAAAGAGAGATCTGAAGAATTTAAAAAGCCTTTTCTTAAAGGTAATGCATTACTAAATATAAAATACATTATAATGAGTTGAACTATGAAGAAAATGAATGCAAATAAAGTATACTAATTTATTTCCAGCAACAGTTCAGTTTCTCTAACATGCAAAACTCCTTTAGTTACAGTTATTTATACCAGGTAGCTGCCAGGATGCAGCTATCGGGATTTAACTGCCTTAAATTGCAGGTAACAGCTTAATTTCTTCCTGGGAGGGCAATCAATGCTCATATCTGCATTTAATAATTATGGTCAGTTCTCAGCCTACGAATTGGAAGGAACTGAGATGAGCAGTTTTTCACTGACTAAGAACGCAGAGAGATTGCAAGAACACCATTTCTTATTATAAGAAAATTGAACTAGGTGCAATTATCTATTTTTATAAAGAGAAAGCCGTTGGTAAAATTCTGTCAGTTCTATACATTAACTAAATTTAATAATATAATCAAGTGGGTATCACAGTATTTTTGTTTTCATGTCACTGTCCCCATCTGGTAGCTGATACATGTGCTGATGAATTGAGCCTGAGAATTCACAGTCAGATTCCTGTGACTGAATCTGAACATGTAAGGATCATGACTGAAACTGCAGTTTGCGTTGGAACATTCACTGCTGTGAAGACACTTTGGGAAGTGAGAATACACAAGATAAATGAAGAATTACAGAAAGAAAAGGAATTCAGACAGAGGTCTGCAGGAAGGTAGGTAAATTGTAGATCTTTAAGTATGTGAAAAGCTAGACTATGTGTTACATTTCACAAAACTATAATTGGTCTTTTCAAACTCAACCAGAGTCTAGTTCTTTAGTCGTTACTCCAGCAGAATTCCCACTGGTTAGAACCTAGCAATGTGGTCAGGTCAAACCAAGAATTGTGTTCTGTGATAAAAATATTAGCATATGTACTAAATCCCCTAAATTCAGATATTAAAATCCTCTCCTGTGTGATATTCTAACCAGTGGAGATTTAATTTGTTATGCTTTCTTCTCAATGGAGGCATTAACAGGGTTGCTTGGTCTTCTGTCTGGCCAGCAATTTCATGCAATGTGAAGAAATTTAGCATTCTATTTTTGGAACCCTCCCCAATTTGTCAGATGTGTTTGAAATAGAATAACAAATTCAAAAGTTACTAATGGAAAATACAAGCAGAAAGAGAATTAGCCTAATTTTTGTAATTCTTGTTTAAGTCCCCTTTGGAAATCAGGCTAAAAGAATCCCTAGCTGATTGACCTGTCTTGATTGCACTTACTTTTGGTGGAACTGAAGGCTTTCTTTTTAGGAGACTGCTTCAAAATTAATGGCTTTGGAACTTAATTTCATATGACTTTACATTCTGTTGCCCTGCTGCAACATGATGAAAGTGAATGAAGTTATGTCTTTCTTCTGACTGTAAATTTGAAGAACAGTAAAATACAATTCCTATAGATTACCTCAGCCAAACATTACTTTGTGTTCTTGCCTTCCCTCAAATTGATAGTATATTTAGCATCCAGATATAATAAATGTTGTTTGACATCCAAAAAGGCTACTGTCTCTTTGTTCCAGAAAATAGAATGGATAGTAATTATTGCCCATATTCATTGTTGCACCACTGACAGATCTTCTTCCCTTGTAGGCTTCTACTTGTCTGGGAGGAGAGAGCTGCTTTAGCAAAGCTCAAAGAAAAAGTTATTAATGAAGATGGAAGAGCAATTTTAAGGATAGAGGAAGAAGAATGGAAGGTAGTGTTGATAGGAATGGATGTTGCTTGAGTTGAATGACTGATGCATTAGAAAACTACTATTTACAACTTTACACTCACAGTTGTACTATTTTTAATCTATGAAGTGCTCACTGTGTGCTTTGCTAACAATGAATTGAGACACACTGTTGTAGAGCGTAAAAGCAAGCGGATTTTTTTAGTCCTGAATATTAAGCATTACGCTGCAAAAAAGATAGCCCAAAAGGCTTTTCTGAATTAGAAATTATTTACAGTGCAAATTATGAGTTCAATTATGTAAATCCTCATTTAACATTAACATACCAGAACTACTGAAATATATCAAAGTGAAAACCCTCTGTGTTTAGGTGCATGAAAATATTTCTTACTGTTGTTTACTTTCTCTTTCTAAGAGTGAAAATGAGCAAGTAGATTCCCAGAATACTACAATTCTTGTTTCTAATGCGTGGGGGGAAGTGGCTAACTGTAGAATCAACAACAGAGTGGAAGCTAACAGTCTGTTCAGAGCTACACAGAAATGCAGATGCCAGTTCCTATGAAGTGATGAGAATTAGATCATGCCGAGGCCAGAGAGTGACAGCCACACCCAGCCATGCTCTGGTGGTCTGTCAGCCAATGTTCCTTGTTCAGAACTCATAGCATACAGACGTTGTAGTTTTTCTATCCCTCAGCTCTTCTGCTCTCAGATGCTCACTGTTTTTCTTAACAGAACAGGAAATACAATTTAGATCACCATTTAAATCCAAAAAGCTATTTAGAGCAGTTTCATCTTCAGCTATATTGGCTTTGTTTAAAAAAAAGAAACCAACAAAAGTAAGCCTGAGACTTTTCAAGCAATGACAGTAGCGCGGACATCTAAATCCTGGGAGCAAAAAGCGGGCAGGTTAAATCTATGGTCAGAATGACCTGCATTGATGGTGTTCATTTTGGGATGTTACAGTATAGCTTGAGCAGAAGGCAAGATTTCTTTTTTCTTTCTTTTTTCTTTCTTTTTTTTTTTTTTTTAAATCACAAGACTGTTACTGTTTCAAATAAAACTTCTGCCTAAGCCTGTATTCTTGTTGTATACTAAGCTGAATTTCTTCTGGTTCGTATTTCATGTCTTAGACACTACCTTCGTGCTTATTGAAACTAGTCCATCTCCAGGAATGGCAGCTTCACAGAACTAGTTTGCAGAAAATTCCTCAGTTCATTGGAAGATTTCACAATCTTGTTGTTCTGGATCTATCCCGGAACTCAATTGAAAGTATACCTAAAGAAATTGGTGAGCTGTGCTTTCTCTTATTTTAAGCTGCTTTTCTAAGAAAATTAATCTTACACAAACATGCTGTTTTTGTGCATTTTGCCTGTATAGCAATCCCATTGGGTAGTTAGAAAACAGACAATTTAAGTCTGACAGTGAGATAGAGATCTAGCTATTTAGACCATGGATGCCCTATAAATTAAAAAAAATGGCTGGATGGAGGAGACATATCTTTATGAAAGCTCCCCATGAGAAAAAAGCTTGTAAGCACAGCAGATACTAGACATCAGAATGCAGCTAGAAAAGTGATATTGAAAAACAGGCTTCATGTTCTGAGTCCGCAGCATGAGTAGCCTATGTTCATAAGAAGTTTTTTTAGGTTTTGGGTTTTGTTTTTTTTTTTTTTTAGCACTCAACTAGAGTGCAGTTCTGTACTAAAGAGTCCTGAACTCCTACTATTTGAATTTCAGTGAATTTTTTTGTTTGTTTGTTTTTAGTGAGAACACAGAGCACTTGTATAACAGTACAAGGATAACACAAAACAAGTAATATTGTACTTCAAATAGAACGACCGTGAACGTTCATCATTTCTCATTGTTCTCCTTGCAGGCCAGCTGACTAGCCTCCAAGAGCTGCTTCTCAGTTACAATAGAATAAAGTCTGTTCCTAAGGAAATAAGTAACTGCGTCAGTCTGGAAAGATTGGAACTGGCTGTCAACAGGAGTATCTGTGATCTTCCTCCTCAGGTTTTCTTTGTTTTGTTTAGTTTTGTTTAATGCATATTTTTAATTAATCTAAAACAAATTATCATTAAACGTTGCACTCCATGTTTTCAGATTTGCTTTGATATTCTGATTTCACAACTATTCCACAGGAACGCATATGTGAACAATGTTTATATGACCAGTCGAACTGAAGCCACATGAGGAGGACATACATATACCTCAGTAGTTGAAGGAGCCAATCTTTATTTTGTCCAGATCAATGACTTGGTAGTGCATATAGGACAGTGATAGACTTGATGTTAATTTGTTTAGGCTGAAGGTCTTCACTGATACGCCCCAGGATCTGACACCTTAGCACAGGGAAGCAGGTGAGGATCTGACACCTTAGCACAGGGAAGTTCCCTTTTATGGTTGAGAGTACAAATTCATACCATATGCCAGGACACAACTGTGAGCATCTTTACCAGAGCTGCTAGCTATGAAAAGGGTTTGTGTCACTTATACAACTGCCTATGCCCAAAGAGTTGAATGAACGTTGTTCTGAGATGTTGAAAGCAATTAAGAGAGAATGAAAACAACTTCTCACGTACTATTGAACTTTAATTTGGGCTGACCTAAATGTGAGAGAGACCTGCATCTCTAAGTATTAGTCTCTTAGGTAGAGGTGACAAGTACATAGCTGTATTTACTTGTTTTAATTTATTTTAAAAAACAGTAGTGGCAATAGTTGACAGCAATCAATCAGTGCCCTGCAAAATTGAGTCCAAACAGTAATACCTAACAACAAATCTTCGAATGAAAATATACACTATGAATCAGAATCCAGAATTTACAAAATCTGTGTGGATACAAGTTACATGGTGTAAGGTAGAGTGATTGATAGCTTTATAACAGCTCATAGCAAATATGTAGTTATGTCCTATTGAGACTATGGTGATGTGAACACTGTGAAGCTTTGGTTATATGTACTTGAGTGGCATTTAGTATTTAGACAGTTGGACCAGATTTGCAATAAAACATCTTTACATCACTTGGACATTGTAAATGCACCTGAAGGCATGATTCACCAAAGGACTTAGGTGTTGGGATACTGAATGATGCTATATTTAATTTTTGGCATGTCTTGCCATAGTAGTAGACTTGCCAACATGGAAAGTGTCTAGGTTCACTCTAAAATACAGTCCGTGCAATTTGATCCATAAAAATTGAAATACTTGACTAACGAAAAATGGCATGTTGCATGGAGAGACACCACTGAGTACGAAATACTAAGGACAGTGGTGTCTTTAAAATTCCTTTTCTTCTCAAGGCTTGGGGTATATCTGCGTTGTAGTCGGGGCATTCAGCTTCTCGGCAGTTAGGACACTCACTACCAGGTGGGAGATAAAGTTCTTCTGCCTGATCAGTTTCAAACCTACCTACCTTCCAGGTGAGAACTGTAATCGTTAGGTAATACCAGCTAATGTAACTCAGAAACCATTCTGTGTTTACTAACTCCCAAATGTGTTGTAGTGTTTTGTTTCGTTGTTGTTGTTTTTTTCAGTCAACATTATTACAGCACTGCTGTAATGAAACAGCTGTACAAACTTGCATTAATTCTCCCTTTCGTTTCAGCTCAGTGATTTAAAGAAACTTTCACACATAGATTTGTGCATGAATCAGTTCACTACCATCCCTTCAGCTCTTCTCAACATGCCAAGTCTAGAATGGTTAGATATGGGGGGAAATAAACTCCAGGAGCTTCCCGATGGAATTGACAGGTAATAAATCTCAAAGTTCACATCTTATTCATTACATTACTCAATTCCGTTGAATTGAAATTCTAATTATTAAATGCTACTTCAAAAGATTATTTTGATGTTAACCTCACTGCAAACTTAAGATTTATCAACCCTAATGTAATATTTTGGATGAGCTGGAATAATCCATTCAATAAACAATAAATTCAGTATCAACTATCAAATATTTCTTGCCAATGACATTGTTAACTAGAGGTTAGGTGATTATCTTGGATATGGGGTTTTCTTTGAGAATTGTTGTATTCTTTATGCAAGTCCTTTATGTGGCTGTAAAAATTAATCAAGTACTTTTTATATTAATGATTGCTAAGATTAATTTTCTAAATCCTGATTGATTGTGCAAATACCTATTTTACAGAATGGAAAATCTCCACACTTTATGGCTCCAAAGGAATGAGATAAACTCTTTGCCAGAAACCATTGGTAATATGAAAAATCTTAGTACTCTCGTTCTTAGCAACAACAAACTTAAGGATATTCCAGCTTGTATGAAGGACATGACAAATCTGAGGTAAGAAAAAGCAATAAATATAAATAAAAATACTATAAAATCTAAATAAAAATACTAAAAGCTAAGTTTTAAAGCCTCCCTTGAGTTGTGTATCATAGAGTGATGCTAAGGAAGTGGAAAAGAAAAGGCACATCCACAGTTGTACAGGTGGACACAATGCCATGTAAATCAGCATAATTACACAGATTCACAACAGTTGAGGATCTGGTCAAGAAAGCTTTGTGTAGCATAACTCATTTAAAGAAGTAAGCTATGATAGTTACAGTCCCAAATGTAACAGGAGACTGGAATACATTTTCTCATTTCTGAAAGGTCCAAATGCCCACTTCTAATTGGCCTTTTATATCACTCTCTAAAGCCAAGAGCTAGGAGGAAAAATATGTAACAGCATAAAAATGACAAAAAGTAGAACTTTGGCACTGAAAAGTCAAGCATTCATGGTTAAACAAAAAGGATTAGGTATAAGGATATCAATGAAACTCTCTTGATTTGAAAAGTAAGAGAGAATGAATGTAAATTTTTAATTGGTAGAATTGGAAATATTATTTTGTATACTATTGACAGAAACTTTCCTGTTCTTTGCATTTTCATTTGAATTACTGGATGCTGGCCGTTTTAAAGAAAGAATGCTAGTCTAAATAAATCACGTCTAACCCAGTAAGACAATTCCTGTTTTCAGATGTTTTGGAAGAAGCAGCACCTCTTTAAGCAAATACATGCAAGCATAGGCCCAGGGATGGATCGAGAACAGAGGGAGGCTGCTGCCTTGCAAAGCTGGGAGGATGCAGGCCTTTGCACTCTTGTTCTCATCCACTCATCTGTTTGTGGGAGCTCAATAAGGCTGACAGTGGGGTGAAAACCTGAAGACAAAATGGCAAGGACTGCAATGTTTTCTCCCACCACAGTCAGCTACTGTTATTATAAGGGGTCTTCTTAGCTTAGTTCACTTAATACTACTAATATAGTAGTAGGTTTAGTATAAGAAAAGACTTATTTTGCTCAAAATATTGTTTGAGGAATCTTAATTCAGTTTCAAAAGAGTTGTTCTCTCTGGACAAAACCTATTGCAAGAGTAACCTTTTCTGGTGAACTGTCAGATTTGTCAACTTCAGAGACAACCCACTGGAGTTAGAGGTAACACTCCCTCCATGTGAGAACGCAGAAGAGGAGGAGCAACAGGAAATGTTTGGCATTGAATTCATGCACATGTATATCCAGGAGTCACTGAAGAAAACAGGTATGGCTTTTTTATTAGTTCTAATCCCTCTGGAATACAGTGAGGAAGGGAAGGACAAACTGGATAAAAGCAAGCTAGGATATGTGTACAAATGAAACATGAATAATCTTCTTAATAAATGATTAACACTTTCCAAAAATCTGTAAACAGATTTTTACGGAGGGCAGGGGCACTTTTACCAGGAGTTGGCACAGTAGGTCTTCACATGAACAGCATATATTCTGGTAGGAACATACTGGAACCATGGAACACTGGAATGAACGTGCCTGAGTTACCTACAGCCTGGATAACTGGAAGTTGATGACTGTCTCTTATATTTACAATTTAATCAGAGTTTACATAGTGTGGGTCTTCCAGCACTGTTTGTCTCATGAAGCTCAACTTTCTCTGGTTTTAGATGTTGTCCAGATGGGGACTACTAAAGAAGGATGTAAGGAGAGATGCCTATGTTCCCAACGTACAACATTTTTAGCAATGAATTATCAACACCTGATAAACAGATGTTTCTTACAACTTGCTTTCGCCCCCCCGTCACAAACTCCCCTACTCACAACCCCCCCCCCCCCCCCAATTTCATCCCGTTTCTCAATCAGTATGACAAGAAAATTAACCCGACAGGCAACTAAACACCACAGAGCTGTTCGCGTACTCCCCCTCTGCCCAGTGGGATGGGAGAGAGAATCAGGGCGAGGGGGAATAGGACAGAAAAGGAAGGGAAAATAATAATAATGATGATAAAAGAATATACCAAATAAGTAATGCACAGTGCAATTGCTCACCACCCGCTGACTGATGCCCAGCCAGTTCCTGAGCAGCAGTTTCCCCCCGGCCAACTCCCCCCAACTTTATATACTGGTCATGACATCATGTGGTATGGAATAGCCCTTTGGCCATGCTCCCTCCCAGCTTCTCAGTCAGTAGAGCATAGGAAGCTGAAAAGTCCTTGACTAGTGTAAGCACTACTCAGCAACAACTACAACATCAGTGTGTTATCAACACTATTCTCATACTCAATCCAAAACACAGCACTGTATCAGCTAGAAGAAAAAAAAAAATTAACTCTATCCCAGCTGAAACCAGGACAGAGACCAAAATGAGCTCTTTTGAAGAGATGTGGAGGTGGCAGCTGTTACTTGCAGAGAGAACTTCACTCATTGCAGATATAAAATGTTCTCTCTGATCTTCATTCTCTGTATCATGAAGGCTTAAAAAATGAATGCCTGAAATGCTTTTGATTTAGAACGCTAAGCCAGCTTTTTTCTTCTCAATATTTCATGAATGAATAATCAAATTAGCAAAAATATATCAAGATGACAGTTTACAAACAAGTTTTCTTCCTTAACAGATTCCCCTAGCAGCATGGGCTGATGAAAGTACCTAGGCCTACTTAAATAATTTAAGAGGAAATATAAAGCTATCCTGAACTTCGAAATGAAAATGAAGTATGTTAATTTCTCTTAATTTAACCCATTGTCTTTCAGGAAATCTGGAAAGTTGTACTTCTGGTCCTTCTCCTATCATAAATGCTAATGAATAAAGAATGTAACTGTGACTGGAAGAAAAGATGAAGTATACTTCTTCCTAAAAAAGAGGCGTACAACAGGTTTCAGATATTCTTAGGGACTTTATTTTTCCACTGATGAGAACTGGTTTGCATATTTGTAATTCCCAGTGAAACTGGGAAATATAAGACCTTTTCCTAGGTACAGGAAAGGCTAAACCAGGTTTTTTTTGTAAGCAATGAATTAGCTTTTTAAAAAAAAATCCAGATAAGTTTTACAGGTTTTTTCCCTACCAATTCCAAATCTATCTCCTGTCATGTAGTTGGCTCTGGTATCAAAGATGGACTTGGGACAGCTGTCAACAGGACATTCTCCAAGGATACAGCAGACTCCGTATAATACTGTAGTGCAGCCTTGTATCCTCGTTGTTGTAAATATTCAATCCGTCCATGATCAATCAGCAGTTTACAGAGGCAACCTATCTCCTTTCGTTCTTCAACAGTAAGTATCCTAGTTTCATAAAAAGGAGGAAGACAATGAACAACGTGTCAAAAGAACAGTGTTGTTAATCAACATTAGTAGTTAAGCTTAGAAAAACTATTTACGTTACTCTAAGTTCATTTTAATTCAGGCAAGCATGACTGTTTAAATATTTTGAAGTGTATGTCCATGAAAATTGTATTTTTAAAGTAGAATATTTTTATAAATCTAATAATTAAAATGTTCGATAAATGAGTCATTTTGAGGACCCAGAAGAATTTCATATACCACTGTACAAAATTTTGCTTTTCTGCAGGAGTCCATTTGCTAGAAAAAAAATTACATACCCTTGTAAAGTATCGGAACCACTCTCTGTCTTGCTGAATGTTTGCTCATGTTCTTCTGTGTCGTTAGTTTGATCCTCATTTTCTTCGCTTGTAGAGGCTTTGGTTGTGGTTTCTCGCATGCCACAAGTGGCCCAGCTACTCATTCTCTGAAAATAATGAAATTCTACTGGTCCAACTCCTACTGATTTAAAGAACTCTCTGCCTACATAATGTGTCCAGTCACACTTGTGATGGCAGCACAGTGCAATAACAATTCCAGCTACAGGCTTACAGTTGTCTTTGTTGCTTTCATTATCAGCACAATTGTTAGGAGCCACCTCTGTCTCATCATTCCTAGAGCGTTTTGGTGCAGGCTCTTCATTTTCTCCATCACAGCAAGTTGTGTAACTTTCAACCAAGCATCTCAAAGCAAGATCTGGGAAAAAACAGATATACCCCCCCAAAAAAATAGTGATGAACACCACGCCATTATTTATACAGGCTGCTATCATGGTTGGGAATGTACTTCCCACGAAGAATAATAAAAGTGTACATCACAAACTAAGCCAAAAAGCCCTTTTAAGGATCACTAAAAGTTACAAGCATGCTTTGAAAACATGAAAACCCTAAATGCTAAATTAACATTATGAGACCTCTGGAGCTACTAAGGGCTTATCCTCTTGAATATTTTTTCTACACAAGTGAATATGAAATACTTAACAAACTGGCATATTGTATGAGGATCTCTTCCCTGTAACATATGCAAGTATTTGCTCTAAAAGTTTGATATCTAGAACACAATCTATTTAATATGTACATGTACTTCTTAAATGCTTAACTGTGTCATCTTTGTAACAGTACCTATATAGGTGTCATATTTGAGATGTCTGTCTCTACTTAGTAGGCATATAACATTAGAAAAAGTGTATTAGTTGAAAATTATCAGGACAGAAACACATTTTTCTTATTTGTTTGCTTGGGATACATGTTCAGACAGCCAATACAAATGTAGAAAGAAAAATATTTCAGAGTAGAGGCAAAAAAAAAAAAAAAAGTACTTTCAACAGTTTACACATACATGACCCACACTGCCATACACTATTCTTTGTTCTACTCTATAGAAAACAAGAAAGGTTTTACTTCTGTCTAAAGTAGCCTTGCATGTATTATCCATTTACTATTCCACTGAAGTCAATAGATATTTAGAATGTAATTGCTACATTCACCAACAAAAGGTTAGAGGGCAAGAAAAGCTTAAAAGGACAGTTTGGAAGATCACTCCATTCAGATTGTAAGATTTAGTATCCTAATTTTCTGCAGTTAACACATAGATAATTCACACCTGTTGCAGCACCACACAAATGCTTCCCAATTCCTACCACTGGCAGTTTTTTCTTCTCCAAAATAGGTACCTTATCTGGAAGGGAAAAGAAGAAAAAAAGGAAGAAAATATACACACAATCCACAACCACCCCACAACCTCTATTATTATAGTTGGGGCAATATTTTTTCTGGATAATATAATGTCAGCATACTTTAAAAAAGAAATAAATGTTTACTACTACTAAAAATACAGTGGTCTGTACATAGAGTTAGAAGCTATTAAAAGGAAAGTTTCTCTTTCTAAAACAAATGAAGAGAATCGGATGCTGTAGCTGAGAAGCATATTCTTCTTTTTCTTAAACAACTCAACCCTGTCCAAAGGCAAAGAATGTATTTTAATGCTGTTATGGAGCAATATGATTTTGTTTCTGAGCAGCAACACTGCTATATAGCAGTAAAATGATTACCCGAGAACACTGGGCTGATTTTCCTTAACAGAATTATCTGTGGCCCAGAGATTAGCTCCAGCTAAATAGTAATATAAATACTTTGCCTTTTATTAAAATGAAGCATTAGAACTCTAGGATTTTGCATTTATGCTAAGATAGTTACATTTATCTATTTAACCATTTCAGTCTTTCTATACTGCCTATGAAATGCAAATGTGACATTAATGCATCTCCTGATGACAGGTGTTCCCACAAATTCTACAGTATTGATGTACAGAGCGTATGAATGATATGCATGACTCGCTTCATTCCGCACACCTAAAACAAACAATGCAAAGGTGTTTAATCCTGCAAGGTCTAAAAAAACCTTCAAAATGTTTTTGTTTTGGTATTTCTCACCTATAATGATGTCCTATAAGCGTATAAAAAGCAGAAAATTTTAGATCCCCATTTAATATATATATATGTGTACGTGTGTGTGTATACATATGTGTATACACACAGCATTGTGTCCAAGCAACCATTGAGAATAATCTTCAAAACCAAGTACATTTAAGCGTGCTACATACAAATTGTCTTGAACTCCAGTATTCAGAGTCTAAAATGAAGCCTCTCTTTCAGAATTATGCAAGCCAAGAAGGAACTTACTTAAACATAAGTGTTGAATATCAACTTGGAGCCTTTCAAATATAGAATCTCTCCTTTTATGTTTTCCATCCACCTGTGTAAAGAGAAAATGATCATTCAGTAGGGCTGGCCACTAGTAACTATAGTTTTGCTCCAGGTATTAATGCTGGACTTTTTTCCTCTCAAGTCAACATCTGCACATTTCCAACATCAGACACCGAGATTTTTTTTCCTAATAAATTTTCTATCAGCAAAGTACAGAATGTAGACAATCACACTTCCAAAACTTTTAACATTTCACAGGCTTTATGTTATTTTTGAAGATAAAAAGCAAATACTAACAGCTTCAATGACAACAGTTTAAACATTATACTCTGCTAAAGTGACAATATCCTCTCTTACCTTGAATCTTGTAGTTGCTCTTTCCACAAGCAAAAACTGAATATTTTCAACATTCTGTAAGGCAACATCAACCCAATGAGACAGCTTTCCTCGCCCAGCTCCAAACTCAACAAAACATCTTCCTGGACCAAGTAAATGTAATTTTTCCATGTTACCTAAAATAGAAGCCTACAAACATCAAAAGATTATTTATGAACCAAGCAAATATATACACTGTGTATTGTAATGCCTGATAGAAAAATGACTACTTCACCAAACTGCAAAAGACTTTTTCAAGTCTTCCCTGTCATGAGAGATTAGGGAGAAGATCTTGTGTGTACAGAGGAAAGGGATTATAAATTCTGGCTAGTCAGCATCACCCTGCCCTTCTTCCACTGCTCACAGAACTCCACCAGAAGTTTTTGGAATGGATTCTTGGGATCAGGTACACATGATAATATTGTTCTCTGCTGATTCTTGAAGTAGCCATCCAAAATATGGGTACCGTACTGGATTTTCTATGAAGCATCAGTGCCGGCAGAGCCCTCTCTCTCTGCTGCAGTTACACATTTTACAATACATAGGAAAGTAGAGCACGGAAAGAAAGTACAGAAACGAGACACTTCTCACTTTTTAAATCTTCTTCCCAAAACTTTCCATTTTGCTACAGTATGCAATCCATCTCTCTTTGCTGTTCAATATACATTAAAAAGGCAGAAGGTAAACTCAGGCTCTCCAATCCTTTTTATGCATCTGTTACACAACCAGGAAATCTAGGACCAGCTCTTAGAGAAAAAGTAAAAAATTCCTTTTACTTTTTAGCAAATACAGTATTTTACCTTTTGTAGCTTAGATTTATTATGAGTTAATACAAAATAAGTAAAAATTCAGAAGAACACCATGCAATTTGTAATTTATTTCAGTATCCTAATAAACTTTTGTTACTATCACTTAACAAAGCAGCCATTCAAAGGCTATATATATATGCTATTATTTGAAGAGTACATATCACATTTCCTCCATATGAAGTAACTAGCATTATGCACGCATAGTCGCTCAAATTTACAGCAGCAGAATTCTACACGTTTAAAAACATCTATAGCTATTAGTAAAGCAGCGACCGTACCTGTTGTTTCAAGTGTTTGAAAGCAGATTCCCCGTTCTTTGGGTCATTTAATGCTTCTTGTAAAGCCTGGTGGGACAGTATTTGTTCCTTAAGGCGAAGTTCCAGGCCTGCATGCAAAGGCAAAACTTTTAGGTATAGGTTTCCAGTTTCAAGAGTTTCTTTTTTTGCAACACACACGTTACAATAGTCAGACATGAGCTCAATTTGTAGCACTAACAAAATAGTCTGTTGGAAGCATAAATCTATCATCAGATGTGTACAACAGAGCTGGATTGTTGTCTGGAGTGATATTTGAGTGGGAAACAAAAACCACAAAAGGAAGGGAAATGAGCTATATGAACAGAAGATCTGTGTTTTATCATTCTCTCTATCTAGTTCATTCTTCTGAGTAAAATTTAGCTATTGGAGGATTGCCTACATCTTGATGATAATTACTTCAGATGTGTTCAGTGCCAAACGTCTCATATTTTCACAGATATCTAACAACAAAAATAACAATTAAATACTTAATCCAATTTAAAACATCTTATTTAAGTATTAAGTGAGCTCACCATTGCTTGCTTTTTTCAACTTAATTATCAAGTTCTCCAGTTCTTCTCTGGATAGAGAAGAGAGAGGTACCTTTTTAAGGAAAAAAAAAACAAACACAACACCACACATAAATACAAGACGTTTTTATTTTTGCTAGTTCTTTAGTCATATGATAAATTGCAACATGTTATGTAGGGACTGAGCTTTAGAACAAATAAATGTACTCACTTGTTTTTCTGGTATTTCTGCTACATCTTTTAAACCTGCATTAATATCTTGAACAAAGTAGACCTTTAAAAATGAAAAGAAATCTGAATCTGTTAATTACCAGGAAGCAAAAAGCTAAATTCTTCAGTGTTTTTATCATAAGGTACATAGCAATAGCAATCCACTGCAAAAGAAGATATTCCAAGTAATTTTTTTTTCCTATAGTCTGATCCTGAATCCCCAGCAGAAATTACTGTTCTGACACATTTTGACAAGACTGAACATGTTCATAAGCGTTAAGCTGTCAATGCTTACTCGACTGATTCCAGAGACCATTTTAAGGTTTCCTAGGTAAAACTAAAGGTGCAATACTGACAAGACAGACAATAAAAAAAGCCATCTTCTGTTTTCTTGAAACAGCTGTTGAGACATACATTCTATTCCTTCCCTCAGCACTGGCTGCAGCTGTCAGCCTAGCTTTCCATAACTCACTGCTAGCTTGAGTGAATCACAGAATCATAGAATCGTCAAGGTTGGAAAAGACCCTTAAGATCATCAAGTCCAACCGCCAACCTATCGCTGCCAAGTCCATCTATACCATGTCTTAGCACCGCATCCAACCGCCAACCTATCGCTGCCAAGTCCATCTATACCATGTCTTCAAGCACCGCATCTATCCATTCTTTAAATACCTCCAGGGATAGAGACTCAACCACTTCCCTGGGCAGCCTCTTCCAATGCTTGACCACCCTCTCGGTGAAGAAGTTTTTCCTAATGTCTAACCTAAACCTCCCCTGGCGCAGCTTGAGGCCGGGCTGTTGGCCAGGGCAGCAGACTGACAGCGGTAGGAAAAAGCCTAGAGCCTCCCTGCTAGTTTTGCTTTCCGAGGACAATCTCTCACCAGGCCTCTAAAAGGACTGGCATTGTGAGCGACTGTTCTTAGAGAACGTTTTTGAGAAAAATGAATTCAGCATTTTCGTTTGTAACTAAGAGAACTGAAAAGTTGTAGTGGAGTACAGCAAGACGGGACATAGAAGGTGAGGGGAGTGGAATGTGAATTCCATTTCAGCAAGTACTTATTCAGCTTCCATAGCGTCCTTACTGTAGGGCTTGCTAAGACTGCTGTCTTCCAGTTCCCAGCTGCTGTCAGCACCATAAATTCTCTGCAGAGCTGTAATGTTTAGGGTCTTAAATCTGAGAGGAAATAGTGCTGAATGTACACCGCACTTACTGGCTTTGGCTTCTCTCTTGAATTACATTTTTTTAAATGTTTTTGTAGTTGGTCTTCATATACAGTGCTAAAATCCAAATAGAAAGAAAAGTAAGTATCAGCATTTATCATGTGAACTCTGACAAAGTATAGGAAAAGCATTTACATATACTTACTGTTTTGGATCAAGAGGACACGGAATTCTTTTTCTGTCATTTTCTTCCTAGTTAAAAAGAAAAGTTTTAGACAACACTTCAGCACGCATTCAGTGTTCCCGTTTTAGACAGGCTGTTGAGGGACATCTGAGTTTCATAAGACATCTATTCTGAGGCAGGTGGGTTAACTGGAATGCAGAAACTGAGACAAGAATTTAATATTTAAATGGATTCTAAAAGAATAAACCTATAACGTAATGGCAGTGTTACTGCCGGGCTGAACTGACGGCCCTAGCACACCCAGGGCTCAAGGGAAGGGGCAGACGCTGCCTCTCGCCCGCCCCAGCCCCTCCCAGGGAGCCCGGGGCTCCCCCGACCCCAGGAGCCCAGCGTCCCCGGCCGGAGAAGCGCGCCTGCTGCTCCGCCCAGCAAGGCCCAGTACCTCCTGCTGCCCATGCTCTCCGCAAAAGCGCCTCCCAGGAGCCGGGATCATCTTGCAGAAGCGCTTCTTCCTCTCCACGAAGTAGGCACATCGTCCTGGCACCGGGGACCCCCGGCCCGGCTCTGGCTGCGGCGCCGCCATTGCCGTCCCAGCACCCCCTGCGGCCGCCGCCTCGGCTCCATCTTGAGGCTCCTCCTCCGCGGGAGCCCGGCGCCAAACTCGAAGCGCAAGATGGCGGCGGAGAGTATGTTCAACCGGCCGGTGTGTGTGCAAGTGAGGTGCCAGGGCTGCGAGGAGAGGTGAGGGGCTGGCTTGAACGGCGCGGCGGGCTCTGACTTGGTTTCCTCACCAGCTGCGCGGAAGCTTTATTGTATTATTTAGGAGAAGGGCTGCCGAGCGACAGCCTCCTTCCTCCTCTCTTTTCTTCCTGCCTGGTGCCCTAGCAGCTGCTGGGCGAGAGGCGAAGGCCCCCCCGCGGGCGGGGGG